ACCGCTACCGCCGCCGGCAGAGCTCGCAGGACTGTCTTGGGGGCTATAACTCGCTGGTCCCGTTCCAGGACCGTAGGTAGTTGCTTCAACGGGTCCGGCAGTATGTCCCGTGAGTGGTGTCGGTGTCCCTTGTGGACTATAATCACCGGTCGAGCCCAAAACATCTGTACCACCAGAAGAAGGTCCCATTGCACCTCCGTTTCCGGTGGTTCCTCCGTAGGCCATCATCGCATCATCTCCGGGGCCCACGGCGACCCCTTGTACACCGTTCCCTCCACCCTCCACCGTGGACCACTTTTCTTCCGTGCACTTCGTTTCACTCACTATTTTCTTATTCTTTTTTCGTTTTCCTTACCACGCGATAGAATTATATTCTTTATTAACCACTTGTGAAAAATCCGCGACCCACTGGTCGTTTAGCCGACGGATGAAGCTTGATTCTTTCGAGAATCGTTCCGACGGCGGATATTCAGCTGCGTACGAGCCACCGGCGGTAATGAATTTATCAACGATCTTCATACCTTTCGATAGTCATCCACGATGCTCTTTCACATATAATTTTCTGCGAGGCATCTTTCTCTCGGTGCGTTTTCACCGTAGTCGAATCAACGAACGAACACGTTGTTCGCTAGCGTCCAGATGTATAGTTGGAAAAACTATATTGTTATAGAGATTTTCTTCTTCGATCAGACAAAATTGACTCGTAGTCAGTGGAGTAAAGTGGTCGTGTACTTTTGAGCACAGAGAGAAAGCAGAGGGTTGAAGAGTTTATAACAGCAACACAAAGGAAGAACGCGCCACACTTGTGACGGTATAAACGCGTCAGAATATGCAGGAAGGGGATATTTTTAGTCTACTGCTGGTAGACTTGCTGCAAGCTCGGCTGCCGACGAATTCCAACGAGACGTTTCTCGTGTTACGAGAGTAAAAGAAAGGATACACTCCGTGGAATAATAAAATCTCACACTCCAGCTGCAGGTTATTCTCTAATCTGCTTTCAGAGGCTGATATGTAACCAGCAGCCAGTGGGTCGATTCACTGTCTCTCTCTTTCTCTTTCTCTGGCACGTTTATCTTTTTCTATAGTTTCCTCATCTCGCGTGTGTTGCGCGATTATCTTGCGTTACTGCCTCCGACTAGATCCGATTATGGCAAGTTTCTCTTAGAGCGCCAGGTGCGCCCTCCTTCAAGATTATCCTCCCTCTTTTCCCTTCGACTTCGCGTCTTTTCTATCTCTTCGTGGCAGGTTGCACCGTGAAATCCACGGGCTCGTGTTTCCGCGGGCCGTGGTAGGTGTGTATTTATAGGCGCTTAGTATACTCGCGTACGAACGCGCACTGGCTATTATTAGGAGCGTGTTAAATAGTCCGTTTCTGTCCTCCTCTATCTTTTTCGATTCTTCTTTTTATCAAATCTCGAATGGAACAATTTTTCAAACTATTGTCGTCGAATTTTTGAGAACAGATTATCGAAAAGCACGCGACACAACCGATACACTTACAAAAACGATTCGAAAAACGCACTGTTTATATCGCACTCCTAACACTACCGGCGAAAGAAAACACGCGATGCGATGAACATAACCAATAAATATCAACGATCACGCGCGACGACACGATGATCAAAGTATATCGAAACTCGTAACATCGAAGACAATTCAAAGAATGATAACGAAACGTCAGATTTACGCACTCCCTCTCTCTTTCTCTCTCTCTCTTGTGACCGGTCGAAAAAGAGACGTTCTCCTACGCACGCACCAGAAGGGACTG